TCCCCTTTAACATTTCTTGTAGGGCCAGTTTAGTGGTGATGAATTTCTTTAACTTTTGTCTGGGAAATTCTTTATTTGTCCTTCTATTCTGAATGGTAGCCTTGCGGGATAGATTCTTGGTTGCAGATTTTTTCAGCATTTTTCATATATCTTGATATTCACTTCTGGCCTGCAGTTTCTACCGAAAAATCCACTGATAGCCTAATGGGGCTTCCCTTTTATGTAACTGTTTTCTTTTCTCTTGTTGCTTTTAAAATTCTCTCTTTATCACTACTTTTTACGATTGTTGTTTTTTAAAAATTTTTAATGTTTATTTTTGAGAGACAGAGAGAGAAACAGGGTGTGAGCAGGGGAAGGGCAGAGAGAGAGGGAGACAGAATCTGAAGCAGGCTCCAGGCTCAGACCTGTCAGCACAGAGTCCAACGTGGGGCTTGAACTCACAAACTGTGAGATCATAACCTGATGAAGTCAGATGCTTAACCGACTGAACCACCCAGATGCTCCTTTTCTGTTTTAATTACTATGTATTTTGCCATGGGCCTTCTTGGGTAGGTTTTGTTGGGGGAGTGTCTGTGCCTCCTGCATCTAGATTTTTGTTTCCCTCCCCCAGATTAGGGAAGTTTTCAGCTACTATTTCTTCAAATAAATTTTCATCCTCCTTTCCTGTCTTTTCACCTGGGATCCCTATAATGTGAATGCTGTTATGTTTCATGGTGTCACTGAATTCCCTACGTCTGTTTTCATTTTTTACTATTTTTTCTCTCTCCTGTTCAGCATGATTGCTTTCCATTACTCTGTCCTCCAGGTCACTGATTCATTCTTATGCTTCCTTTTGTCTAGTTTTTATTTCATCTAATGTATTTTTTATTTCAGTTATTAAGTTTATCTCTGATTCATTCTTTTTTATGTTTTCCTTCTCTTTGTTGAGGGCCTTAATGAGGTCCTCCATCTTTTCTCAAGTCCAGTGAGTGTCTTTATAATTATTAGTTTAAATTTTCTAGCAGGCATATTATTTATCTCCTTTTCATTTAGCTCTCTTGCTCTGATTTGGTCCTGTTCCTTCATTCAGGACATATTCCTCTATCTCCTCATTTTGTCTAACTCTCTGTGTATGTTTCTGTGTTAGGAAAGTCAGCTACATCTTCTGCTCTTGAAATTAGTGGCCTTATGAAGAAGAGATCCTCAAGTGCCCTGCAATGCAGTGTCCCCTATTCACCAGAACCTGGCGCTTTAGGGTACTTCCTGTGTATGTCGTGTGTACCCTACTGTTGTGGTTGGACCACTTTTGCCTTCAGTCCAATAGTCTCCAATTGCTCTATTGTCTGTTTAGGGCAGGGTTTGGTCTTTGTGTTGTTAGTGGGCCAGTCTGGGACTGCCTTGGGCTTGAGTTGAATCAGACTAGGCATTTGTCAGAGATACAATAGCACCAAATGGCAGTGTACTTTCCCCTCTTTGTGCCCTGAGAAGACACCTTTTGTTGGCAGGGCAGTCAGACCTGATGTCTGCTCCCGGCCCATTGCTGGAGCCACAATCAGACTGGTGTGGGTGGTTATCCTCCCCTTTCTGCAGGCTACGAGTCACTTTGGGGTGGTGCTGCCTCCTATCAGGAATCCTTGCACACTGCCAGGCTTGTGACACCACTTTGGATGGACTCTGGCTAAGGATGTATTCAAGGGGGAAAGTCCACAGAAGAATGAGGGGACAGAGGCACTGTTAGCAAGTTAGGTGGAAAATGTTGTCACAGTGTTGGTCAATGTGTCTAAACTAGGGGACAGGGGAGGGAAACAGTACCTGCCAACTCCTTTGTTCTTGAAAAGTCTCCTAAAAATCCTTGCCCCTTCAATGCACACTTTGATCTTCTTCCTATATACCCCAGGCATTTTTCAAACTGCTGGTTCTATGCTGTATCTCTGCTGGGCTGTTTCTTGTACTGTCTCCTTAAGGGCAGAGACTCAATTTTCTATCACCCTCCTGGCTCTCCCAGAATGGAGCCCACTGATTTTTAAAGTTCCAGGTGTTGGGGCACCTGGGTGGCTCAGTCGTTTGAGCATCTGACTCTTGATTTTGACTCAGGTCATGGTCTCACAGTTTGTGAGATCAAGCTCCACTTAAGACTCTATGCTGACAACACAGAGCCTGCTTGGAATTCTCTCTCTCTCTGCCTCTTCCCTGCTCATATGCACATGTTCTCTCTCTTTCTCTCTCTCTCTCTCTCTCTCAAAATAAACATTTAAAAAAATAAGAAAGTTCCAGGTATTTAGCCCTGCTGATTTTAAGAACTCACAAAATTAGGCCCCTCCAATTTTCAAAGCCAAATGTTATAGGAATTTGGGTTCCCCATGCCTGGAATGCTTGGTCTGAGGGTCTGTTTCCTTTCCCCCCCTCTCTGTGCCCTAGGTGTCCCTCCTTAGACAGTTGCATGGGTCTGTTTAGATCCTGACCACATCTCTGCCCTTCCTACACCCGTTGATGTGTCCTTTTGTCTACCTTTAGCTGGGCAGAGTCTGTTCTGCCAATCTTTGGGTCATTTTCTGGGTTTTTTACATTGATGTCAGTATTATCTAGTTGTATTCATGGGATGAGGTGAGCTTTGGAATTTCCTACTCTGCCGTTTTTCCCCAGAAGTCCTTGTAACACTTCAATTTATTTAACCCATCTCTGTTGCTATCTGTTTTTCTAGTTTTTTCATATAAACTATGTTTTGCTAAACTGCTCTTCACAGAGTCACTCATAGCCTTGTGTTGCCAAACCCAGTGGTCAATTCTCACAATTCATTTTACTTTACCTATGAGGACTTCTGACATGGTTACTCATTCTCTTGTTGAAATTTTTCCTTCACTCAGTTCCCAGACCTCACACTTCCTGGTGTTCCTTCTAGATCATCTGCTCAGACCGAACCCCCCCCCCCCTCCGATCTCTCCTAACTCTATCCTTATCTGTCATCTCTGTTTACTTTACTGTTTTTCTCATCTCATCCAATCTAATGGCTTTAAATACCTGAACTCCATACCCATGTACCTAACAGCTGCTTTGTTAGCATGTAGTTTTGGATGCTTTAAAAACATCTCAAACTTAACATTTACAAAAACAAACTTCTAGGGGCGCCTGGGTGGCTCAGTCGGTTAAGCGTCCAACTTTGGCTCAGGTCATGATCTCATGGTTCGTGGGTTCAAGCCCCACATCAGGCTCTGTGCTGACAACTAGCTCAGAGCCTGGAGCCTGTTTCGGATTCTGTGTCTCCTTCTCTCTTTTACTCTCCCCTGCTCATGCTGTTTCTCTCTCTCAGAAATACATTTTTTTAAAAATATTTTAAAAAATTTTTTTGAAAACAAACTTCTGTTCTTTCCCACCATGTATATTCCACCAATGTCTCTTCCATCGCAGTTCATGCAACTGCCATCCTTCTATTTGAATAGGACAAAATCCTGGGGGTCATCCTTGACCCCAGCCAGTTCTCTCCATCACCACTGCTCTCCACTAGTTTAAGCCACTTATTTCTCTCTTGAACTATTGCCCTGCTTTCTCTCTGTGCCTTTCCTAGAATTGAAAAGTTAGAACATGTCGTCACTCTGCTCAAAACACTCCAGTGAAATTCCACCTCAGGATGAAAAGTTAAAATTTCTTACAACAACCCGGAAGGTTCTTGATGACACTCCCACCTCCACTGCCACTATCTCTCTGATTTCCTTTCCTGTGACATTCACCCTTGGTCACTCTGCTTCCGCATCCTGGATGTTCTAACGCATGCCTGTCCCTGAGGGGCATGGCAGTTGCTCCCCCTCTGCTTGGAACACTCCTCCCCTAGATAGGCTCTCTCATCACCCTCAAGACTTTGCTCAGCCAGTCTTGCAATTTAAGTTGCAGTCTGATCCTCCTTCCAGCTCTTTGAATGCTCCTTCTCTGTTTTTTTTTCTCCATAGCACATACCATTTTCTTATTAACTATATAACTTCTTTCTATTGTTATCTGCCCTACCCCCTCACCCTAAGGAAATGGGTATTTTAATATATTATTGACATTACTTATTATTGAATCTTCAGTGTCTAGGCATACTGGGAATCATTCATCAAATATTTGTTGAATAATTTTCCTCGTAAATGCATCAGTATGCACTTGTCTAATTATTTATTGGGAATTAATTCCTATGGTCAAAAGCATATACAAGTTGCCCAGAAAGGTTTTAACAATTCGTTCCCACCAAGAATCCATGAGAATGTCTTTTTCCTGATACTCTCGCCAACATGATACCCTGATCACAGTATCCTTTCTGTTCCTTCAACTCAACATGTTCATCCCCCCCTTGACGCATTTGCATTTCCTCCTCCATGACTTCCTCCTCCAGAATACTCTCCTGCCACACCTTTACTTGGTTTAATTCCCCTTATTATTCAGATCTTCCTTTAATTGTCACTTCCTTGGAGAGGGCTTCCCTGATCATCAGCTGCTAAGTAACTGCCCAGTTCCGTATCACATCACTCTATTTCATTTTCATTATAGCATATGTCATCACCAGACATTTCTTACTTCTATATTTATTTGTTTGTCTATGCTTTCCCTCTTTAGAATGTAAGCTCCATGAGAACAGGAACTTTATATGTCTTTTCCAACACTTATCTCCAGTAAATGTGTGTTTGATAGTGGAACACCAGGTATTATAATTTTTCATTGTTACCATCTGCTGGGTAAAAAGGGGATTAAACATGAATTTTTTTCCTGGATTTGTGAGGCTGAACATCTTTCAAGTATGAAAGCCTTTTTTCATTAACAAATGTTGAGATGATCTATAAGTTGAAATATTTAGAGTATCTGTTTTAGATATGCTACATCTCATTTCTTATTTGTTTCAGATATGCTGCACCAGGTTTCTTATATTGCTAAGTTGTATGCTTTTTTACATTTCTGAAACTTCTTTTGCATTTATGTCAACGTTAATATCTGTATGGGAGGATTCCTTCTGCACATTTCACTCATGTACTATTGTTTTCTTTTTGTCTCCACAGCTTTTGGAAAGAACCAACAATGGTTTTGAAGAATCTGACTCTGGTGCTACTAAGAGTCCGCTCCACTTAGCTGTAAGTGAAATGCCGTGGGTGGCTTCTGCTGTTACAAAAAAAAAAAAAAAAAAAAAACCCTAAGTGTCCTAGAACTAGGCTGTGTTTAAAATGAAAGCTTAGTAACACAATAATAACAAATAATGAAAACAGTACATGGGTAAAGGCCCAGGGTGCAGAGAGAAAGACCGCTTCAAATTTCAATCTCAGCTTCACCCACTGGTGACGTCAGACATATTGCTCACCCTGTCTGGGCCGCAGTTTCCCCATCTGTAAAATGAAGGCAAAGGAAAAGATAATTTATATAAAGCCTCTACCACAGTATACTTAATAAATGAGTGTTATATATTTTAAAATCTTTTTTTAAAATTTTTAGTGTTTATTTATTTTGAAGGAGAGAGAGACAGAATGTGAGCAAGAGGCGGGAAGAGGGAGAGGGAGATACAGAATCTAAAGAAAGTTCTGGGCTCTGAGCTGTCAACACAGAGCTCAGTGCAGGTCTTGAACTCATGAACTGCAAGATCATGACCTGAGCCAAAGTCAGATGCTTAACCAACTGAGCCACCCAGGTACCCCTAAAGTCTTTAAAATTATTATTACTGTCTATAGTAGTTAAAATCAAAAAAGTGAGGAAATATGAAAACATCATGGTTTAAAGGTTTGATTATAGGCAACAATGAGTGAGTATACAGCCTACCAGAAAATAAACCAAATACCACAATTTAAAACATGTGAGATATTTAAACACAATCATAAGAGCAAGGTAAGCATGTGCATTATTGCAGCTCTGCTCTTTCTGTCTGGGCTTGACCTCAGGGTCTCAGAGGAGGTGTGAGACTCTGATTCTTGTAGTGGCTGAGATCTGCAAGCAGGGAGGAAGAGCCGTGCTGTCATCCATAAAACTTCCTCTCCACATCCCAACAATTGAAGGGAAAAGCAGCAGCCCAGACTGAGGATCCCCAAATTCGCCATAGGGATGACGGAGTCAGGAAACTCACCCACCACCGTACCCCGGTTAGTGTCCTGCCAGCAGGTGGTAATCAACAGCTATTCCCTAGGAGACTCTCCAACCAAGAGTCGGTTCAGCTACAGAATGTGCTGCCATATTGTGAGCCCTCAGTCCATGGCCATGATGATGATGGCAATGATGATGGCTGGAGGCACCTGGAAGCTGAGCGCTGAGAAGAGAGAGAAGGGGGTGGGTCTCTGGGGTTAACTGTTATGACATTCACTTAGCACCATCCATGTACAAGCACTTCCTCGATGTCATTCGGATGAAAAATTTAGATGGAGGTTTTGGAGAGCAGAGGGGATTGGTTTTGTTGATGGGCATACATAAGTAATCAGGCAAGGTGAGGGGCTGAGGCCATCCCATGAGGCTTAGGATGAACTGACCACATCACACTGCAGGGAGCCCCCGCTTCCTTGCTAGTCTCCCCACATATTCACCAGCACATCTATTGATCCCACTCACCGCCCTCTGCTACACCCACCAACGCATCCACTACACACCCACACCCACACACATTTTGAGTCCTGAAATCAGGCTAAAATGTGCATCAGTCTTTTTCTGAAGGTGGACTTAGAGTGGGAACGGTGAATGGACAGTGGGATATTTGTATAAAACTTTATGCCCTAAAGTACAGGTTGCCCTAAAGATTTCTCCCTACCTGCCCAACCCTCTGGTGCTCCTAGAGAAGTTACCCCAAAGCTGAGGGTTCACAACAGCATTAGCTGCCCCTCGAGAAGACTCTCTGAGGTTATCTCAGATAGAATTCTCACACCTTTTTAAGTGGGGCTGGTTGCCTTGCCACACCTGCTTGTAACCGGAGAAGAGACTTTCTTAGCTTCGCCAAATTCTGCTAGCTGTCATTCTCTTTCCCCCCCCCCCCAAAAAAATATTATTGTTGAGTGCTTTGTGTGCCAGTTGCTCTGCTAGGATCTGTGAGTTTCTGGGTCCTGTAAATACAGGTGCTCTGTTATCCTTGGAGAGAGCGGGGTATCTGGCAGCTCTGCACTTGGCAAGAGGCTTGGAAGTACACCCAGAGAGGAGGGCCCAGCCACCAGTCCTCCCATTAGTAACTCGCCTGGTCATGGTTTTCCCACCTGTAAATTCAAAGGAGTAGGTTAAGGACCTCCACACCCTTTCTCATTTGTAGATCTATTTAATTGTTTGTCGTATGATATTGGCCAAGCACCTAACCTCTTGTGTTTCAATTTCCTCACCCATAATATGCAGAGAATAGCAGTACCTCTGTCATAGGGCCGTTGTGGGGATGACGTGTGTCAGTGCATTCAAGTGGTTAGAACAGTGCCTGGCACATATATGCCGTCAGCTAAGCTTCATCCTCACTAATGCTAACATATTGTTCTTTCATTTGACTGTGTGTGTGCTAAGCACCTGTTCTGGGAGCCGGAGAGGTTGCAATAAATAGAACTCAGCCTCTCTCCTTGTAGAGGTTCTAGTCCAGGACGGAGAAAAGCAAGTAAATATTTAACATGACACATGGTGTGAAGTGCTCCCTGTGCTACCAATGGGATCAGTGAGACAACGCTGAGGTGGCAGATGAGGCTCCACTTTACATAGCATAGAATCTCACATTTAACAAGAGACCTTAAGAGCTACCCATGTTGATATCATGAGACAGAAGAGTGTTCTGGGCAGAAATGCAGAGTCCCTGGGTAAGGGCATGGTTGGCATGGTCCCAGAACATCAGGGAGGCAGCAAGGCTGGGGCAGATGGAAAAGGAGTGGTGGAGGAGATGGTGTCCGACATGTCATAGAGGGGGTGAGGAGCACAGAGGATGCACTCCCCTGTAAGAACTTCAGCTCTTACTCTGAGCAAATTAGAAAACCATCTGGAAGGATTTGAAGGGACAGATAATATGGTATGACTTTTGTTTGAAAAGGATTACTTTAGCTTCTGTGTGGGGTATACATTGTAAGGGAAGAAAAATAGAAGCTAGACAACCAGTAAGTAATGATGACAATGACTTTGACCAGGGTGATAGCGGTGGATTGGTTCTGAAACTGTATTATTCTTGCCTGCTAACACCTTTTTAAAAATTATCCTATGCTTCAAGAACCCTACAAGTATACCCATCACCCTCTCCAGGGGCCTCAGTGGCAATTAACTTGATAAAAACCCAAGGCACATTATTTCTTCCGGGGATGCATTCTAGCAATGAAATCAAACCAGATGCCCCCAAGCCTTGACTGCCGCAAGAAACCTGACCTGCCTTGAGTTACTATTTCCTGGCTGAATGATTCAAGTCTCCAGGGTTATCAACTCAGTGAATATCATAAACATTTCATCCACTTGAAAAAATTAAATCAAGAAACAAGGCTATGCAAATGAAAGCCTCCAGCTGTCAAGATTTCCAGATGGGCCCATTGTTTCGTGGATTCTGTTGAGATCCCAAATTCTTTCTCTTCGTTGCCCTCAGTTCCTGTCTAAAAAGTTCAAAGAAATTAATCATGTTTAGGACATATTTAAAGTTACCTAATTTTTTTTTAAATAAAGACATTTCATAAAGCAAATTTAAAATGTTTGATTGCTACCTCTAGTGAAGGCTTTAACTGCGTTGTCTATTGGAAATCAAAACATTACATGCTTTTTGAACCAACTATTTGTTCTTTTATGTGATTCCTTCCTCATTTAGTTATTTCAGAAATGGTTGGTGAAACTACCTTCTAAATACCTGGATTAAGATGGAAATAGAAATAGGACAATTTTCATCCTGTACTGCTGACATGAGAAAGGTCTCCTTTCCTGCCTACTTGAGCCTCCTTCAAAGATTTCAAGCTCTATTATATACTTTTGTGTGTGTGTACTCCAAGAACTATGTACCTGCCCAAAGACAGAATCATACATTTAACCATAAAATAGAACCCCATGCTACATGGTAGTTTTTTTCTAGGGTTAAGCTCTAGAGTGTGGAAGTAAGTGAAAGTTCTTGTACAACCAAAGTCAGTTTATTATTCCTCTTAAATTGTCCCTGAAGTTTAGTATACATAGTTTTATGTCTTCAATTCTGTGGGGTCATGTTTTTGCATGCTAAAATTCAAAAACTGCTAGCTAGACTGGGGGGGGACAATGAAGGGAATTTTATAGGTAAACCTGGCCTTTCAACCATCCTGTCTTTAAGAGAATTTGAAACACCTGATATAGGAGAGTATGGCTTGGGATTCGGAAGCTTTCCTAATTACCAGCAGGGCCACTGTATTTTCTTTTTGAAATATCGAGCCTCTAAATTTAACAAAGGCTGATGGATTTATTTTTTGTCGTAAGAATTAAAGAAGAAAGTGTGGGGATAAGTTTAGCACCTAGCTCAGGTGCCTTGCAGTGTGACTCTACGGTACTGAACAGCACCAGTCCCTTCACACCGGCTTCCTTCCTACCTACTTTTCTCTTTCCCCTGCGTCTTCTATTTATTAAATCTAGATACGTTAGCCATCATGTTTTGTAGATATGCATGCAATTTATAAGTTGCCAATTCTATTTCCTAGGCTAAGTCATGTTGATGGAAATTAATAATAATAATTTGTCTTAATTTTGTCTTTGTCATAATAATAATTGGCATAATTGTCTTTGTCATAATAATAGTTGGCACTGAAGGAAACAGCATTTGCAAATGAAATCTAGGCCCTGCTGTTATCTATCTACAGGGATTCATTTCCCTTTGGTGTGAAGTCAGGATTTCCACAAAAGCTGAATCAGTTGCTACCATTACAGATTGAAGTGAGAAGTGTTATGCAAAATTAATTTTCAAATAAGTCACAGTTGAGCCTACAGTAAAGTGAGATAGACTGATGTACACCCTGATGTAGATGCTGCTAGTACCACAGCTTTTTATAGGAGAGGTCTTCCCAAGTTGGCTTAAAATATGGCCTGAGTTGATAATGGCTGAGTTGAAACAGGGTTGTGGGTATATAGGAATTCATAATGCTATCCCCTCTTTGTACAAGTTTCAAACTTCCTGTAATAAGGAAGTAAAGAAACATACACCTTTTGGCCTTGT